AGAATGGGTTAGAAACCAAAAAATTTCAAAATTCCCCTTCCCACCAAGTGACATCAAATCAGCAGGTCAAATGGGCCATGCTCACAACATCCTTCGTCCCCAAACTCACTCCCCAGTACTGTATAGCAGGAAATTTTCGGACGGAAATATTTTCGGACAAAGCCGAAATTCGACCTTTCGCACGGATTTTATTTTCGTACAGTGCTGCATGCTAGATGCACGTGTTTGCAAGCAGTACGCATGTATAGTGTACATAATTTCACAGGAACGAATTTTAGTACGGAATTAATTTTAGTACAAAAGAGGCAGTGTGCGAAACTGTACGAAAATAAATTCCGTCCGAAAATTTCCTGCTATACAGTATGTACCCCATACAGTTTGTGTTACATCACTAGCCCTATAGGCTATCTCCCAAACATTCTGAAAAGCATGATATTCATGCAGCGGACATATCCCTTCATGATCCCTACTCTGCTGCCAGGGGCGTCGGAAGGTTTTCTTTAAGCTGGTACAGTCAACTACCTGAAGTACATTTTACTCGTGGAGTTAGGTGGCTGCTCAGAGAATTTTCGAAATTTAGAGCACAAATCAGTGCCATTTATTGATTCCCAGGGTATAGCTAGCATGCCCGGGACTAATAGTGGAACGGTCCATACCGTAGTGACCGTATCGTGTCTGACACCCCTGCACTGCATTTCCATTGTGTTGTCTGGAGTATGATTTGTAACCTCACAAAATCCCCTTTTGAACTACATGTTTGAACGTATGCGTCAATACCGGGATTTTTTCTGTTTGCGTGTGTGTGTGTGTGTGTGTGTGTGTGTGTGTGTGTGTGTGTGTGTGTGTGTGTGTGTGTGTGTGTGTGTGCGTGTGTGTGCGTGTTTGTATTTGTGTAGATTTTGGTCTGGCACGGGACATTTACATAACGGATTACTACCGGCGTGAATCACAAAGTAAGAAATGACCTCACTGTTCTGGAATTCATGCTAGATTGTTGGATTGTGTGTGGATATGTATAAGGTCATGAGAAATCCAGATAATATTTCCACGAGTAAGAGAGAATTGGAACAATTTTATGCAAAAATTGGACAGTGCTTTATGTATGTATGTGTGTATGTGTGTGTGTGTGTGTGTGTGTATGTGTGTGTGTGTGTGTGTGTGTGTGTGTGTGTGTGCGTGTGTGTTTGTGTACGCGCATGTGTGTGTGTGTATGTGCACATGTGTGTGTGTGTATGTGCACATGTGTGTGTGTGCATGCGGCCTCGACTTTCAGCACCACTACCACTGCGCTGGCTAGCCCCTGAGTCTATCCGGGACGGTGTGTTCAGTCATGCTAGTGATATCTGGTGAGTACGTACGTTTGAACCAGGCAACCGGTCAATGTCCATACTGTGTATTGCATAGGTCTAAAGTACGACATTGGGAAAAGCTTGTTGTGTTTCTCACACTTCGGATACTCTGAACTTGATTCGGTGAATAATTTTAAAGCTGCTGGGATGACGGCTACACCATAGCTCAGTGGTTAGAGCATCGCTGGCATCATGCGAACGCCCCTGGTTCGAATCCCGGTGGTGACTGTCAATTTTTTCAGACATTTCCCGTTTGTTTCTTTCCCTCGAACCAGTGAAAATTGTAGAGTTGTTTTCTCGTTCACCAGGTATTGTAGCAGTCAGTTTGGCCAGTCTCTCTCAGCTCTGCTGATGAGACCTGAAAGTTCGATAACAGATGCAGTAGGGTGTGATTATGCAGCCTATTAAGCCCACAATCTCAACGATATGCAGGGGCGTACTTGTCAATCCTTTTAAGGGGGTGGGGGGTGCACGGCCGCATATGTGTGGAATGGCTGGTGCATGTCATTCATGGTCACTATGTGCATGCTGAACCTAGGTCGAAATTGTTAGGGGGGTGCACGTGCCCCCAGAGCCCCATACAGGCTAAGCACCTGATACGATAATGCTGTCAATGACTCTACTGTAAGGATACTAATTTTCGGCGCCGTCAAATTTCGGCCTCCCTAGGCAAAAATTCATTATAAAACCAACCTGTACTGCTGCTGCCTGTATACACTGTCACACTGAACCTTGCAAAACAAAATTTCGGCTGCAGCAAATTTTAGGCCGGAAATACCGGCACAGGCCGAAAATGGCCGAAATGAATATGTGCCGAATATTTGTTGAGATACTGTACTTTTACTGTGTGTGTTGTGTGTGCAGGGCTTATGGTATTGTGCTGTACGAGGTAGCTACCTTGGCTCAGCAACCGTACGTTGGGCTGAACAATGAAGACGTCGTCAGGCTGCTGATCAAAGGCGGCTGTATGGACCCTCCCATCCCGGCCATGTCATTCCCCAATGATGTGTAAGCGGGACATGTCATTTCCAAACTTAGACAAATTCTGATCTAGGGCCATTTGACAGTTTGTGCAAAAGAACATGGTTTCTAAGTGAACGAAGTCGGTTGCTCCTACGTGGAACACACACTTCCTAGCGAACTTGATAATTGACCGACTCATTAAAGGGGAAGTTAAGGGTAAAATCAAATTTTCACCAGTTGTAGTCTTCGGGGTCTTTGGGGAGTCGAATGGTCTTGGTCCAAGGAAGCTGAGACGCTCCATTCCTCCTTTATTCCCAATCAAACTCGCGCACTTCCACCGAAACTGGGTGACTGCGCCCTACTAGATAGGGATTTGTATGCAAAATGTCATTAAAAGCGCCATTTCGTTCTTATAAAAGCACGGATGACCGCAATTGGCCCATGTGTTGTAGTCTTTTGGACGCTGGGTCGACTAGTTTTGGTCCGAGTTCCTCCTTTATTCCCAATTGAACATGGTTGAACAAGCGGTCACGTGCTCCTGCGTGCCAAAGTCACCTGGTCACCGCGCAGCAGGCGAAAACTTTCACACCAAGGTTCAACTCGAGTTCAACTCGAGTGACAGGAGTGCACCCAAAAAAGGTCAAACAGGCTAGTAAGTTGTACCCTGCAGGCGCTAGGTTAGGGCCGCTAGGCACAGTGACCAGGTGACTGGTGTACTGCAGGAGCACGTGACCGCTTGTTCAACCATTTTCGATTGGAAATAAAGGAGGAACGCTGCATCGCAGCATTCTCGGACCAAAACCAGTCGACTCAGCGTCCAAAAGACTACAAGATATGGGCCAATCGCGGTCATCCGTGCTTTTATAAGAACGAAATGGCGCTTTTAGTGACATTTTGCATACAACTCCCCATCTAGTAGGGCGCAGTCACCCAGTTTCGGTGGAAGTGCGCGAGTTTGATTGGGAATAAAGGAGGAATGGAGCGTCTCTGCTTCCTCGGACCAAGACCATTCGACTCAGCACCCCGAAGACTACAACTGGTGAAAATTTGCTTGTATTGTATTGTATTGTATTTTATTATTTTACTTGGGCATTCCCAACAGACCGTCAGGTCTTTTTACAGGGTGCCCAAAATTTTAGTGTAATCCTCCGATGTCATGCCACCGTGCTTTTTTTCAACCTACTGGTGGAAGATTACTGGTTACACGTAGCACCATTCCTATACCTCCCCTATGTTCCTCAAGCGAAGAAATTTCCTCTGAGTATTGGTGCAGTCATTAATTCATGTACTCTGTGCTGTGTTTTGTGTGTGTATGTGTGTGTATGTGTGTGTGTGTATGCGTGCATGCGTGCGTGCATGTGTATGGTGATATTTGTGCATCTGTGTTTCTATCTGATCACTCAGCATTCGCGTCATGACATCATGCTGGAAGCATTCACCGGAAGATCGCCCCACGTTTGACAACTTAGTCGAGCAGCTTACTCCGGACGACGACTTCGTATGACATACCAACAAAATGATCATGATGTCATCGTCAGTGGCACTGGTGACAGGACATGGTATGACATCATTATGAGTCATCTGTAACATAGTCCTGAACTTGTGGCTCCGGCCATATTTGAGTGAATCCCCACGACAGGATTGCCCACTGGCAATGCGGTTGATCACTCGTGCAGGGTAGCTATAGCAATTCCACTATTCGGTGGCCATCACTCCAAGACGAATAGACTAGCATCAACTTTACTAGTGACTGTCGACAATGAATTTTAAATCATCACGTAATTTATTTCATTAGAAATGCCAATTAGGGTAGATTCAGTTTTCAACTCGCAACCGTTCATAGCGGTTTAGATCTGTTCCTCTAGACTCTGCCTCACGAGTCACGGCACATGTACATGATATTGTACCTGCACATGAAGTTGTGCTGTATACACGTACTTGACATACATACATGAAGTTGTGCTTTATACATGTACTTGTACACACATACATGAAGCATACATTACATTGTTTCTCCTAAGTTTGACCTGGTCTCTAACCAAGCCTTTTCCAGATCTGGAATTTCTCACGAAACTTTGACTCGACATGACATGGTATTGAGAAATACCAGTGACTTACATTATATAAATAGAGTAAAATTTTATAAAGTGATTTTGGAGATTGCAGCGCTGGCCGATGTTTGACAAAATGGCATTTTTAAAACTTTGAAGTATACAATCATGTACTTACATTGTATCTACTTTTCTAGCTTTGAGTACTGCTCTTAGTTTGAAGTGTTCGTTTTTAATTCACTGTTGATAATTCCTCTGTGGTTACTAGCTATGCTATCAGGAAGTCTTAGCATCTTGCGGGATGTTACGATTGTACTGTGCATGTAAAAGATACTTCACTCATTTGTCTCAAATCCGAACATTGAAGTTACGGGTACCTCGTTCTAGTGGGCACCCTCTGGGTGAGTCTGAGTGGAAATATTATCTACTCGTTTGCAGTCATATGCCAAATGTTTGGCCCTTCCCCCATTATTTCTGTGTGCATTGCTAACAGCATAATTATTGGTAAGTCTGAGTACGATGTACGTACATGTGAATCCATATAACCAAGAGTACATAACCCCCCAGAGTGTGCAACGCCTGATCCAGCTCTGTGTAGGGTCTTGGTCGAGCGGAATCGGATCTTTGCGTCATAATACCGTACACATCTGAGGGGAACCCGGGGAGTCGCGGGTACTCTTGGATCCAAAACAATGGTGCCCTGCCTCGAGACCGGCCTTGCGCTGGTGTGAAGTGTACGCATGACATCAGAAGATCCGATTCCGCTCGACCAAGACCCTACACAGAGCTGGATCAGGCGTTGCACACTCTGGGGGGTTATGTACTCTTGATATAACCGTATAACATTATAGCAGCGTGAGTCAGTGTCGCTCATGGAGGTGCTGAACAAACGCTGAGGACCGTACCATTCACAACGTTGTTGCCTCCAAACCGTCTCTTTGTAGGGCTGTGTTCCCAATAAATAAATAAAAAATCTAATTCGCAAGCCCGCGCTGGGGACAACAATGTTTGTACTACAATGTCATGTACATGTACAACAATATTATTGACTTATTTGATAGGAGCCAAAAAGGGAAAAAAAGGACACTCAACACTTTCTCTAACGCGGACGTGCGAACCTTTCCTTACTTCGCCCAACTTTCTCACTGTTGTATCGCTTCAGCAACTTCATCCGACAATGCATGCAATTGCTTGAATTATTTAGCGTATCGGCTCTACGCGCACTTGCTGGCACTTTCGACGCTCGTCTTTCGGCTGATTATGGCTGTGTGCCCTAATAAGACCGTGTGTACTGCCGTATTACTATTAGATCCGACTGGCAGGCTACAGTCATGTAGATCTATCACAGTACCAGCGCTCGCAGCTGCAGGAGATGACAGTTTTCACGACCGCGGGTGTCAAACACACCTGCACAGACGTTCTGCATTCATGTCATACCACGTTATAAAGGCAGTGGTGAAAACGACCCCTAAATCCTAGGCTTATTACTATATTAGCCCTGCTGACAAATATCAGTCCTGCAGCTCATGGATTCACCACGAGAGGTGAGATCACGAACACTCCGACTGTACAATATCTACCGCACACAATTGCATAAGTTGCTATGCAAATCTACCTCTCGTGTTGGTCTCGGGTGAAGTTCCCAAGGGCAGGACTGAGGAGTGGTTCGCAGGAAAATGGTGAAGATGTACGTAAGTCGTTACAGCTAGCCTTGGAATCGGGATTTCTGGAGAGAAAAGCTCCTTCGCCTTCTTGCCTTGATCTAGCCTATTCTTGCAAACTGTAGGACAGCTGTGCACAATCATGCACGTGACATGTGCCGACGTCTGGACCAGTAGATTCTAGTATACACGTCACGACTGCTACATCATTGAAAATGTCGGATTTACTGAAGTCACACATACCTACCTAGTACCTGCCCACACGGTCGGTAGTTTTACTCGACTCTCGAGTTGTGCATGCCAGCAGCTGTGCGGTCTGCATTCATTCCCAAACATCGCTAAAATAAAAAATTTCATGCATAGCTTGATGTGGTGGAAAATAGCAACAGCGGGGTTTGTTTGAGAGCTCCCGACCGGGTAGAGAGCATCGAGTCCTCTACTCGCCTCAACAGGACTCGTGAAGGTGTGGGTGGATCAGGGAAGATATGAAGTGGCTGTTGTCCCCTCCGACCGCTGTGTTGATAAGTTGACGGTCGCAGTACGAATCACCCGATGGACGAATCGAATGGAGCTCGAGCAGTGCGCTGCGCTGTGTGCGCTGTCGTATTCGCCTGTATGATTGCAGCCGTGTCGTCGACTCCGCTACCGTCAGGGAGCAGCGCTGCTTCATCGGTTTCTCCCCCGAGCCAGAGTTCTAGCGGTGGAAAAACCAAGGCGGCTCCAGCACCCACAATGGCTAGCAATCCTGGACCAGATCCTAACGGTGGCGGAGATGACGATGGTGATGATGAAGATGGTGACCATGAAGACAGGCCACCGCCTACCTTTCCTGCATACACCGGATTTCCCCGCAGGAACTGGACAGGTATAATGTGTGTGTGTGCGTGTTTGTGTGCGTGTGTGTGTGTGCGTGTTTGGGTGTGTGTGTGTGTCTGTGTGTGTGTTTGTATTTTGGTATGAGCACGTGCGTGCATATATTATGTGTGTGTATAATTATGTGTGTGGGGGGGGGGGAGGGGGCATATTTGCATCGTTAGAGCCACGCGAGTTGTGTGGTATGTTGCTATGCGTCCTTGAATAGTGGTTTGACCGTATTGTCTAATGGTCTTGCCAGTATCGTCATCGGCATGCATGAACATCCGCCAACATCTTTCACAGCTGAGACTTTCAGCTTGTGGTTGTCTTGCAAGGTTGCGCTCACCTTACCCCATCCTTTGTTTTCATATAACTTAGAACCTTCCAAGTTGGAAGACTGTTGGAGTGCGCACCCAAAACGTGCTAGAGCTTATAGCCAGTTAGGTGTAGAACGTCAGTACTGTCGGTCAGTTTTATGCAATGTTATCGCATGAGCTGATTGTCAAGTAAATGGTGGTGTTAATGGATATTATACCTCAACTTGTAGTTCCTTGGTCCTCTTCTTCACTATAAATCAATCATCGGCTCTCCATCCGAATCAATACTATGTCTCTAGACAACATTGGACACTCATGTGTTGGTACCAATAGTAGATTGCTTCATTCTTTCCTGACATGTGCATGTTCACTGCTCTGTCTGTATTCCCATGCAGTATGCTCATCTGCCGGAATACTAACGTTGAAAGACTTGCAGCTGTTTCAGTACTTTGCCTGCGAGATCATCAACGGCAGCCTGATTCTGGAGATCTCCGACTCTAACATCACGTCAGTGTACGATATACAATTGCCGGCGCTGTTGCACGTTACGGCGCAGCTGTCGGTTTCTCTGCCGCCCGGGTGGTCAGTCCGCGACCTACTTCCTAATCTCGTCGCTGTACACGGCTTGCCGAACTCCGTGCAGTTTCTTGCCGCATTCGAGCTGTTCCTGCGTATCCCGTACGAGGATTCGGCCAACATCACGGCGTTCGTGAGTCGCGGGGCGTTCAGCAACGACACGGACGGCATAGCGTTCCTGCGCGGTCGCGTGGCTTACTACACGCAGGGCAGGACAGTGTATGCACGTCCACCGTCCGCTGTCACTCCAGTGCCGTGCAGCCCCGAGGCTGGCAGCCTACCGGGTGTTAGCGGTGGAGTGTTCGTGGATGGGCAGCCGGTCAGCCTAGGCAACGCCACCCATATGTGCTGCAAACCCACGTACGACAAGAAGTACCTATGTCCTTACCGTAAGTTCTAGAATCGCACACTAACAATGCGCTTTCTTGAGTTCCTTGTTTGTCTTAGTCACTCAGTGAGGTCTCGCGTTTGCACTGTGCAAGCTTGAGCTCATTGACAGTGCTAGAAGAACTTGTAGCTCCACCTGTTTTCAAGTCTACTAGTCATTGTAAAAAAACGTGTTCGGCTTTTGAAGCTCTGGCCTGTGATATGAATTCATGGGCACCACACAATCCTCCTCCACTTCCTAGACACAAACATTATCCTGACCGCCTAAAAACTTGCCACTTCTTCGAAGTATGTTCACGAGGGTCAAATTTCGAAAGTCGCTACCAAACATCCAGTGCAGTGGATTGTATGCATGCGAAAAATACCTGGTGCCTATTCGGGTGTTAGTCTGTGCAATGCATCCTGCGTGTGTTCAAGCTAGAGCAAGCTGAGTACGGTGAGTCGAGTGCTCCATGCCATTGATGGAGCGTATATTACCGGTTTGTGCTATGTACTCGTGGCCAGGCACGAGGAAAACATGGATACAGTGAATGGGATTTTGGGTGGGTCTGATCTACTCACCTCTCACCGCTTAGGAGCTGCATCTGCACCTTGATCCAAGAGGGTGGTGGCATTCCTGCGGATGCAGAAAACTTGGCATTCAGCCGAGTCTCACGCTAGCCGTGATTTTTTTGTTCTACGTGTGTGAGAGTGTTCAACACACCTTCGTTCTACGTTCCACAGAAGTAGCCTTGTTTCACAGTGTGTTTAGCCTTGAAGCCCATCTGATATGTCAAAAAATATCTTCTCGTGTCAGATTTCTTTAGCCCCAATTGTGCAGGCATAGAACACAGCTCATCAGCCCGGTCTGTCTGTATGTCACCTTTCCCATTCACTCTCTCTCTCTCTCTCTCTCTCTCTCTCTATCTATCTCTATCTCTCTCTCTGTGTCTCTGTGTCTCTGTGTGTTCATATGCTGCTGTGCATGTGTGTTCCATGGATGTACACTGTCACAACACACACATGTTCAGTTGTCAACCTGGCCTGCCTCACCAATGCCCGCGAAGCATCACTGGGGAACCGAACGGAGGCCGACATAGTCACGCAGCAAAAGAAGGAGAACACGAAGAACATCACGATTTCAAACTCGGATCAGGCTATCGTCTGTAAATACTATGCGGGACCCGGTCTGGACCAATGTGTCAATACGTGTCCTACAGACACGGCACTGGTAAGTGAAGAGCTGAGATGTAAAACCCGATAAGCGTCAAATTTGAGGAAATCACATGTCTAGGGGCACCTCCAGGCAAAGTTTCACATGCAAAATCTGGCTAGAACCATTTCAAAAATGTGGAGCCCAAATATGGATTTAGATACAAACCGCACATATTACAAGTGAATTTTTTTGGCCATTATCCGAAAAGTACTGAAATGGATTCAGTGGGGTTTGCACTTCAACTCTTCAAGTAGATATTACAACTATCATACCTCATCTATCACGGCGGTCCGGGACCGGGCAATGTCCCTAATTACGAATCACATACATTTCAATGGGGAAAAGCCATGGATATGGCATATGGATGGTGTCACTATTTCTTCCAAAAGTAACAGAAGAGTACTCATACTTCCACTGAAACATGCCCAAACGCTGCCCGGTAGAGCGAAGTGCCCATAGCTTCGGGTTCCGGATAACCTAGGTGTGACTACACGTAGACTAGAGTACAGAGTGTAATGTTTGGAGCGAGGAGCCAAACTACTAGGAAACTACGGTGTGGATGTGTTTGAATTCAGACAATTTTAAATTGCTATTTTGAATCCCCACTTGTACTACAATTCCTTAAAATGACACGACGCACGTCGGGTCACATTACGTACTGTGTGTTGTCCATCTTTCCATGAAGTATTGTGTTCATTACTTACTAATTCCTGTAGTAACGTTTCACCTTTAGTAGGGGTCAGAGCTAGGAATATTTTAAAAATAGAACTGTGTTGCAATTTGCTTGTCGAGGCCCAGACCGCAGTGAATGTTGTGTTCATGGCGCATTTTATAAAGTGAAAGACTGAGTTTCAGCTTGAATTGGCAGTGCTGCATTGCACTCCAGTCCACTGTGGTCGACTGTCCATCCATTCCTCTGCTGCCCTGCCTTCATTTATTTTGTTGAAGAATTTTAATGTTGAGTTCCCGGATGATTTTTAATCAGCCAACACACAGTAAATTAGCTATCCCACCGCCCTCAACAATTGTACGCTCGAAACATCTGTATGAAAGAAGTGAGTACCAACAGATATGTCGCTTTGCTGATGGTGTGCTGTGGCAGCGCGTTGAGGTCGGCTGGATAGCGCAGTTATGGTGCGGTGGTTGAAACTCTGCACAGGGCCGAATGCTGCTGCTGCTGCTGCTGCTGCTGCTGCTGCTGCTGCTGCTGCTGCTGCTGCTGATGATCCCCATAGTAGTTTTTGGACAATAAATTTGTTTGCGTGTTTCTGATTGTTGTTCTAATCTCTACCGACTTACAGTTTGCAGATGCAGTGTGTCTGCGCCGTTGCCCCACCATTCGGGTACCTGATGCTCGATTGCTGAAGATTACCTTAGAGCCCTACTACTCTGTGTACAACGCTACTAGCAAACAGTACGTGTGTGAACGCACCTGCCCGCCGTTCCAGCAAGCCGACCCGGCAACCTCGTCGTGTCAGAAGTGCGTCATCGACGAAGACCAGTATGGTGTTCCGTGCAGGCGAGGTCAGTTCATCCTCTTGCCGCAGTTCCGTGTGTGTGTGCATGTGTATGTGTGTGCGTGCATGCATGCATGTGTATTTGTGCGTGTATTTGGGGGGGGGGGGTGCGTGCATTCATGTAAGCATCTAACTTCTACCAGCTTCTTTACTGGTATGTTTGCATCGTTCCCTTTCCCCTCCATTACAAGTAACTACGTTCCAGTTCTTAGGATAATTGCCCTCTGTGTGTGTGTGTTTTCATGTGTGTGTTTTTTTTGTGTGTGTGTGTGTGTGTGTGTGTGTGTGTGTGTGTGTGTGTGTCTGCGTCTGTGTGTGTATGGCTATGTGGCTGCAGAGTGCAATGGTGTGGTGGTGAAGTCGCTGACACAGCTGTGTAGCTTTGTCGGCTGTACGGACGTACGCGGCGACCTCTTCCTGTCCATCAACAACCCAGGTAGGTCATCGCTTCACAGTAGCACAGTGTGTATAGCTCTTGACTATTGCACAAACTACTGGTGTCCGTATAACCAGCATGTGTATACAGTTAGATCTCGTTTCACCGCACACAACCGTTTTCCACAACAATATCCGGATAGCCGAGGGAACCGGATAATCGAACACACGTACTGTATGCTTGCACTACATATGCTGTAAATCGGTAACCAACGATTTTCTTCCGGATGAGGAGGGGTCCGGATAAAAGTGGAGCGGATAAGCGAGGTCTGACTGTACCTGTGTGCTCATATCCATTTTATACCTGTATCTAGGTTAACCGGGCAAGTAGCAGCTTTCTATGAAAGCCGAAGAGACGAACTGACGTATTGTTGAGCACATACACTGTGTTGAATGTACCAGTTCAATAGCTTGTGTACATGTGGTGCTTCTATGGTGAAGGGCTTTCAAACAGGGCAGAGTCATTGGTAGGGGTGTGGAGCTTCAGCGATTGCATCATCAGTGGAGATGCTTTGGCGATGTCGTGGACTCGCACCAGCAACTGACGCTGCATACATAGCGCCCTAAAAAGAGAATCCGCTGACGCACGCTGTATAACTTAGCACCCATGAACGGTTCCTCGGCACTCAGCAGAGTCATTCGCATAACATCTGTACCCTGCCGAGACCACAGGTCGGCGTTGTTGGCTTGTCTCACCAGCACAGCTTACTTCCTGGAGCCCAGCCTACTCTTCACATTGTCGTGGTGATCTGCTACTTCTCTACCCTATTCGTACCAGTAGGTTGCGTCTTTAGTAAAAAAATCTGCTTTGGAAAATTTATTTTTCTTTGCGATCACGTTTGGCCTCAATTTCTCTGTGCTGCGCTGATGAGTCCACACAGGACGAAACAGTTCTGTCCGCAGATTGAGCAAAGAAACCCTGTTGTCGTTTTTTTCCATTCTCCCACTGTACAGGTCTCATTCCTCAATGCCTGCACCAGGAGGCAGGCATCACAACTCTGGACTCAGCCATGGACAAGGCTCTGGGAAGCGTCAAGCGCATCTTCGGCCTGCTGCTGATATTCGGCAACTTGTGCATGACAAATCTGAACTTCTTCCGCAACCTGGAGGCTGTGCTGGTCCGTAAGAGTATTGCCGAAAACTAGTAAGTATTTCACGTCTCTGGTGCATACCTGCCAGCCTTTGCACACCTAATATATGACATACCTAGGTGTGAATATGACAATATATACAAATCTAGCTGAGGCATGCAATAAATGCACTTTTGGGTGCCTAGTACCACCCTGTGATGTCGGGACGGTCCCGGCCAAATCGGGACACCTGGCAGTTATGACATTGTGTTTGTGAGTCTACTTTCGAGGCAAAGGTTTTGAACTTGTGTTTTTGATCTTTTGTGTCTTCTCTTCCTCCAAGTCGTATTCTGATCAAGGACAATCCGGTTCTGACTGACGTCTCTGGTCTTACCCAACTGGGACAGATTGGACCACACGAATTGGACATACAACTTGCCCATGCAGTGAGTTTTCTCAACAGCACATCGCCTTCCCCTTCTCCCTTGCCCCCCCACTCCCCATTCCCCATTGCCAAGCGGTGAGTGTTCTCAACTTCGCATTACCCTTCCCTTCCCCCTCTGCCCCCCCCCCCATTCCCAATTCCCATGCGGTGAGTGGTTTGAACATTACATTGCCCTTCCTTTCCCCTCTATACCCCCCCCCCCTCCATTCCCACTCTTTTCCTCCCCACTCCCTAACCTTTATAAATCCTAACATGTATCTGAGATGGCAAGATATGGGAGCACGAACTTCCGGGACTCAAGTACGCAACCGGTGACTTAGAAAATATTGGAAAAAACGCTCCACCACCACACCTGGCACAGCGGACATATTCTGGTAGTTGTGCAGATATCCATCCACCAACCCAATTCTCCAAGTTCCTGTAAAAGCCTTATGTACAACACAGTGCTTGAGCATTGAGAAGGAGAGGGAATCGTTACCTTTGGTACACGTAAACTGGTCAATTTTAGGAAATCGTTATATTTGCAGCTCGTTGAGATACCGGCTTTTACAGTGTGTTGTGTTCCGTGCTCTCAACTGTTCTGCTACAGGTCACGGCTAATTTCCGCATCGATGGCAACGCATTCCTGTGCAATGCACAGATCGATCGACTGTACGAGCAGCTGCTCGGAGAGTATTACATCAACATGGGAACGAGACCCCACTTTCACCATCCGTACGCCAATGCTGACCAACTGAATTGTAAGTCATGGAAGTACAGTGCATATCGGTTATAGTGTGGTCGTGTAAAAGAATATACTGCCTACAAGAATGAACTCTCCCATTTTCATAATCATAACATGGGTTTCATGTGTATATTAATTATTACAAGCAATGTTATCGTGTAATAGAATATCACGGTCCTAAGAATGGACTTTGTGTAGCAAAACATGCCAGATTGATACAAAGTGTATCGCCTGTAGTAATAACATCTGCCCGATACAGTTCTGAACCGACTCGAATTGCATCATAATGCTGCAAGTGCATCTGTTGTGGTCATGTAACTCATGTTGCTCAGCCACATGGTGAACCTATGCAGGCTATGGCCCAGTATGGGACTACTTTGGAAGTATGAGCAACTACATACACAGTAGCACTACGTTGCATGTATGATGATCTTCCTGGCTATGTGCACATGCATATGATATGTCACACTATATTTATCGCGTGTAAGAAATATCGGAAATAAGAATAGAAAGTCGTTTTTCAAACACCCACGCTATAACCGATACCTACTGTAGAACGATTGCGGGCACGGTGGCACTATCTTCTGATAAGGCCATGGCTACCTCTGCGCAATCTGACATGAAATTTGTGCGGTGAAGTCTGAAGAGAATGTTGAACAGTCTCTGCTGGGATGACAGCTACACCATAGCTCAGTGGTGAGAGCGTCGCTGGCCTCAAGCGAAGGTCCCTGGCTCGAATCCTGGTGGTGATAGTCAATTGTTTTCTTCAGACTTTTTTGCCCTTGTCCATTCCCTCCACCTTATGAACATTTGCACAGATAGTCCTTTTCATTTCAAGTAACAAGTTTTTCTTCCTCAGAATGACTTGACTTGAAAGGCTCTGCAGAGGTGAGAGCAATTTTCGGCAAATCCCGATTTAAGTTGTGTATGTACATGTGCATCTGTGCACGTGTGTATAATTTGTGCATGTGTGTGCTTGCATGTGTATGTGTATGTGTGTGTGCGTGCGTGCGAGCATGCGTACGTGCATGCATGCGTGTGTGTGTGTGTGTGCATGTGGGTGTGCAATGTGCATGTGTGTGTGTGTGTAAATGTGTATGTTTACGCACACAACTGCCAATTTGTGCACATGCACATACAGGTCCGGTGACACGATTTCAGATCAGGGCCGTCGGTGTGATTGAAGATTCCATCACGATATCATGGGACCCACCCGTGCCGCGCGGGACAGACAAACTCCTCAAACTCTACCTCTTCTACGTTGAGACAAGGAACAGGTGAGTTGTAAAATGATGACTTCTCGGGAACCGTACGTAGCAGGCCGGGGACTAGTACAGATGAGTTGTAAAATGACGAATTCGTGGGCACAAGGCATAGCAGTGCAGAGACTGGGAAAAATGATGACTATGGGAACCGTGAAATGCAGCGTCATGAGGAGAGCAGAGCTGTGTTCACTGTGTAGCAGGCCGCAGTCTCTCGGAGGCAGCACAAACCGATTGTCGAAGAGCCTGTATATTCAGTGGATCCTGCTGGATGTCAGCACAGGAGTGACGAGATTAACCCTTTGCATGCTGGACCCCTTTTCACCAATCCAATTGTTTTCCAGTGCACTGACTGGATTTTCATCTTGGGCTCGTTGGAAAGATCAGGACCAAGCAAATCCATCCTGGCAGCTCTCAGGTCCATAAACACATCAGGGCCACTTCCACCTCCTCACTAAACTACTCCACCGTGCCTCGTAACGGCACAACCACTCAATTTCACATTCTTGTTCGGTTTCTTGCCTAAATTCAACTGATTTTCGCGATTCAAACTGCGCTGCAAAGCTGAGATCCAATCGCTTCATTTGATGTCCATCACGCATGCGTTGTGCCAAAGGGAAATCCCCTGGCACGCTCCATAAAACTGCGAAGTCATGAACAAAAAAATTGCGTTCGCTGTGGGCCGTGATTTCCGTGTTCATCGTGTCGCCGATCGGTGAGTCCTTATCCCATCGCAAAACACTTTATATCCCGGAAAGATGAGGTCAAGACCTTGCCAAATGTGTATTGATTGTCGCGGTGCGTTGATGTTTGACGGAGTTACGACAGTTTGTACACTGATCTATGCACTGCGATGTATCGCGCGAGTTAACCCGTACGTAGTGGATCAGCACACTTCAAAAGCGCGAGATAACTCGTACTCAGTACGCAAAGGGTTAATGATTTGAGCGTCTCTCTATTCATCTGATCCTAGAGGGAGAAAAACAAATCTATACTTTGTATTGCCCAACTTAGATTGCATATGCACTTATATTTTAGCGAACATATTTATATTGGTAATGCTATAGGAGGATTTAACATGATCTCTCGGCATTGCTAAATGCACTTGCCTGGTTTTTGTTGTGTTGATTATTCTTCCCTTATTCTGTTTCCTCACAGTATCGACCCTCACCTGCGTGACGTCATCAAGCTAAGCGGAAACACAACAGACTTCTCTTGTGCAGCACGACTTGAGCCGTAAGCTGCACGCGCCCGTGTGTGTGTTTGTGTGTGTATGCCCTATATTTCCAGCTTAGTAGGGTATTTTGGCTGGAGATGGCTTGCTGTCCATGAGGAAGTTAGAGCAGGAAACACAGCTGTCTGACATTGAGCACGTTGACACCGTTGATCAGCTATGAAGGATCAGCTCACACCACTCACTGTTATCCACATGCACACTGCACAGGTCTACCAAACTATTGTCATCCAGCTAGACATCTAAGCTAGACAATCATCTTCAAATGGAATGCCTGAGTTGAATACGATCAACAGCAGTCGAAGCAACTGCACACAGTTTTATACACAGGTGACACTAATGGTCTGCAATCAATTACTAGCTTCAAGCAATCAGGCTTCGTCGGTAAGATGTGGAGTTATTCTAGGCAAAAAAGAGATGAGGCAGTAGATCGTGAGACACTGCCTCAAAGCGAAGCCGGTACGATAATCCGAAAGTACTCACGCGTCACGCTTGTTCCTTTGTGTAATGCTTTGTTTCCACAAAGGTAGAAGGGAACAGAGACAACGTGTTCTCTTCTGCCTTTGTCGTAAAGCTCCACCCGAGTGGTGTTAAGCACTCTAGGTAGACTGGGAACTCTCGCTATTGTAATGCTTTGTTTCAATACTTGCTTGTCTTCCTTTTTGCCATAGCTGGTCTGTGATCTCATTACCAGCGAACATTACTAGTTACACAGTCCGGAATCTACACTTCTGCTCCGAGTACGCCTTTGCCATCGATGCGTTCTTCAACCGCACCACCGGATCCCCGCCAACGTCGAACCTGGTCATCGGCAACACCTCCAACATCGTCCTGGGACGGCCAAAGAATCCGAGTTGTAAGTGAACGACAAGCAATACTGGCGTTGAAGTCGGCGGCCTACTGACAAACTGTCTTTGGAAAAGACCATCTCGGACAGCGGGCTATTTTCTCATAATAGTAATATCCAGACATGATACGGTGAAAGGAGTACAAGCACCGGCTTTCTATCTTTCTATCTTTCTATCTTTCTATCTTTCTATCCACTCTGTTTGTGTAAATTGCTCAACATGTTTTGTGTAGTGAGCACTCTAATTGGAGCTGCCTCGACATGCCCTGTTTGTCACCTCACTCTGAATATGTACAAGTGGAATGATACCATGCAGCTCAGGGCCGTCAGAAGGTACTTTAGTCTGGTACTGTCAGCCACCTGAAGTACAACTTACTCAGCCACCTGAAGTACAACTTTCTTGTGGCGTTGGGGTATCTCCTGTGAAAAATTTCGAAATTCAGAGCCCAAATCAGTGCCTTTATATTATTTCACAGTGTACCCGGGGCAAAGAGTGGTACGGTCAAAGCTATACTGACCGTAGCTTGTCCGACGCTCCTGATGTTGTTTACCACGTTGCATACACTACTGTTGGGCGCCGAAGAACTGGGGGTCAGGGTTCTAGCCTAGCCCGTTCTTATTTTAGCGAACACAGCAGTTTCGTTCTTATTCGATAGTACAGTCTTACATGTACATTTATGCAGTTATACATCATACTTCAAGTACATTGTAGTGTACATTAAGGTTTCTGTTCTTATCTGCAAAAAATCGAGCCTACACCGTTCATAAAAATTGGTGAAATCCTAGCCTTGCCGTTCTTCGGCACGCGTCAGTACTGTACCTTGATGCATAGTATGCCTTGTTTCCGTGTCTTGTTGCCCGTACACAGCTCCACCCGGGCCGGGATTGTTGCGTATAACGTCGGCGGATGCGGAGTCAATCTCCTTGACGTGGAAAGAGCCCAACCTGCAGTGCCAGGAGTTCGGCGTACCGTTCACGTACCGCGTCTACTGGGCCATAATCACCATCTACCCGCCCGTGACAAGCTTGACGCTGGAAGCGTGCGGAGCGCTGTGTGCGTGCGCCGATCATAGCTTCCTGGATCCGTCCACTACGGCCGGTCAGCTGATGGAGCAGGTGCAGCGTCAGTACCGCGGGCGATTTGTCGTGACGGCGCGCGACTCTCCCAAAGCCTCGCTGAGCCCACCGCCTGCCGTTCCTAACCTGATCACGCCGGCAGGGTGCAATAGCACAGAGTCGTCAACGTGCTGTCCAGAAGGTCTGTTCATACATGTCGAGGACTTGAACAGGGTCAACCAGGGCGAGGGCCTGTTCAATTTGCAGCACAGTAAACTAACCCAACAGCGCAACTTCACCATCAAGCGTAATATCACCAGCCGACTATCGACGTACATATTCGCGGTAAGGATCGGGCACGGATGGGAAGACAAGCCTTATGTATTGTGTGGTGCTAGTGTAGTACAGTAAGATCGGGCGCCGAAGAACGCAGGGGCTCGAGCGCAGCCTAGGAAAGTTCTTAAATTTTTGATTCTAGCCAGACCGTTCTTATTCACACGCGCGCGCGGCGAGTCGAGTGACATCATGACGTTTGTCATGTACATGTACATGTAGTGCAATGTATTACATCATGTACTTCTAAACTAGTGGGTGTCGTAAATGGGAATGACTGTACATGTAGCAGTTACTGTTTACACGTGTACATGACATGTACTCACCTCCCATACGTGTACAATGTAGATCTACGTACAATGCAGATCTAGTGTTCTTAAATCTGATAATTCTAGCCTGGACTGTTCTTAAATTTTGCCGGTTTTCCAGCCTGGGTGTTCTTCGGCGAGGTGTTCTTCGGCGCCCGATCTTACTGTATGGGTCCTTCATAACACGAAATTTGTATACACATAAATAGTACACCGTAGCCGGAATGCCTGGTAGCTTTGCGCATACTCGCACTTCTTCTTCTCCTCTTATGAGACAATGAACGAATGATAACTACTTACATAACTACAAGCATGTGCTTTGAGTGCTGAGAGTACACGGGTTACAATGGTGGCAGCGGTGGGATTCGAGCCCACGCCTCCGGAGAGACTGGAGTGTAAAAATAGTGTTTACTTTGGCTCTACTTGTTTTGTAACTCTCAAAACCTCAGCTGAGTGACCGGTGTGTTGTGCCTGTACAATGTACCGAATGTACCTTGAGATGACCATGTTCTTGTCAGGGTGGTGGGAGGAGGGGGTAGGAGGGGGTGGGGGGGGGGGGTAGGAGGGGGGAGGGAGAGGGAGGGGGAGACTGGTTCATAGTGAGCCTCCTGGAACCGGGCAATTTCTCCACATATGGCCCAAAACAGCGCTGCACAGCTGTCGGCACAAATTCGATTGCATCCTCAAGCTATATTCTTGCCTGGCGGAGTGAGAAAGGGAGAGAGAGAGAAAGAGAGAGAGAGAGAGAGAGAGAGAGAGAGAGAGAGAGAGAGAGAGAGAGAGAGAGAGAGAGAGAGAGAGAGAGAGAGAGAGAGCTGTGCTTTGCCCTTGTCTATTCTGTTCCCTGTGTAAGGTTCAAGTTTACCATGGCAAACCGACTGACACCTACACCCTAAGTACCAACCAGTGGGCCTTGGCCGCCAATGTAACTGAGAATAGTAAGTTCTGGTAGTACACCTGTGTGTATTCTGTCCTGTGTGTGTTCTGTCCTGTGTGTATTCTGTCCTGTGTGTGTTCTGTCCTGTGTGTGTTCTGTCCTGTGTGTGTTCTGTCCTGTGTGTTTTCTGTCCTGTGTGTTTTCTGTCCTGTGGGCACTCGTGAATGCGGTGGAAAGAAATCTTGACAGTCCCTTGAGAGATCCTGCAGTTGCTTCCCTTGTAATGTCTGCAAACGTTCTCATGTTTGGTCCTCTCATGCTCCAGCAAATGTGTTTTTGCTGGCTGATCTTAATGTTCATAATTAGTATTTTGTATTTCCGTCTGCCCATTCTCTAGCAATCGCCGATACAATCCCAGATTTCAAGGTAAACCGTACGGTGAGTTCTGCTGTAGCTGGTCTAGTGTAGGATCCGTAACTGCTCACGTAGTTAGTGAGTGTATTTGATTATGCCAGTGAATCGATGTTGAATCCATTCATGAATTGCCCCGCCCCTGGCTATTCACATCACCCCACGTGATAGGGCGAATGGATTCTGAACCGATTCCGGGGGCGCATGGCATGAAATTGAACGACGAGATTCCGTTCATGAATCAATTCATGGCAGTAATCGAATGCACCCAGTGGTGATGTCGAAACGCTGTTCATCTTTGTTCCTTCCAGCCACTCAGACATCTCCCTCACTGGTGGTAGCTAGTACATATGCCGCACTGTCAGGCGTCTGATAATCTTTCCAGCACGCAGCAACGTTTTCAGAAACACACATTGTAGGGAACTTCTTTCTTATTACTATTACATAAAAACTCTAAATAAGCAAGAAATTACATCTACCGTCCATCAACTGTGACAGAGCAATGGTTCAGATGATGCTGTTTTTCATGATATAATTATTTAGTTGGAATGTTGTCGTAAAGCAAGTGCCTGCCTATTGGGTAGTCGCTTGTTGCAATTCACGAGAACGAAGTAGAAATGAGTAACTCTGCCTGCTGAACCAGTATCATTCCCAGGATGATTCCACCGCTTCCTGCCCGCACCCCCCCCCCCCCCTGCCCCGCTCAGGAACCACCCAAGCAGGAATACATAGTGACTTGAAGAACTGACGTCACGAAACATGCACCGTTACACATTGTGACAGGTGTGTCACTGGGTCTTTTCAATCCCGTCTTGCAAAAGAATTGTATACGGCCAACGAAGATTGTGTGGATATTGCTCAGCCCCCCCCCCCCCCCCCACAGTTCTTTGGAACTAGAAAGTACTGTAGGCAAATTCTTTTCCACTGGGAATCTTGTTTGGACAATGTCTTTGGTGTCTGCACTCTGTGTGTGTAGGTATTCGGAGAGAGCAGTGATGTAGAGCTGAGCTGGACAGATCCACCGCCCAGTGACAGCCCAGTGATACGCTATCAAGTGCTGATGACGGCACGTGTGAAGTCGTTTGGCAAGAACACAAGTCAGGTTGAAGAATACCTGGGAACGGAGATTGTGCAGGTAACTAGATTAGCAGGATTGAAAATCTACATTCCAATTTCACCATGCATGTGAACAGTGCTGTGCATAGAGAACTTATATCAGCCACTAGTAATATGAGTTATTAAGAGCACAGAAGTGCAGCGATGGTTTTCAATCAACTGTTAGTCGACAAATTCTCGGCCCATTCAAATTTCGGCCTCCCAGGGCTGAAAACCATTTTCGGCCTGTACTGCTGCCTCCTGCATACTGGATTGGCATGATTGAAAATCTCCTTTCCTTGACAGATTTGGGTTTTACTTCTTTTGTTTTTGCTAGAGAAGTAAAACGCCTCACATGAACATACGTTACTAACATTATAATGGAAAATAAAATACTTGTGAGGCTCTTTGCCAGATATGGTTGCCATTAGCTATCGACCTTTGCTTGCTTGTGATTGTCCTAATGAAACGACGTCGTCTGTTCTAGGGCATAAGTTGACCTGTAGTTCTGAACCGTCGTGACTCCCCGAGACAATACAGTGTGGCACAATGTCACCATGCATGTGACAGTGCTTTGCATGGAGAGCTTAGATCAGCCGCTAGGAATATGAGTTGTTAACCCTTTAAGAGCCACAGGAAAATTTCAAAATTCTGCATTTTTTCGTGTTCCTTGGATCATAGCTTCAGTTCTACTCACTCAATCCTCACAATCTAGGGCTTCCTGGAAAGGTCTCCGCGAGAGGAAGAGAATGAGGTCGATCATGATCGCCAGCACACCGTCTATCCAGCGCTAGATCGCAGCGACAGTACGAAAAATGCCCCAAATGCGTCCAATTGCGTCCCGCTCCAGATATTTCATTTTGCTCAATCGTGGAGTTCCAAATTTTTCGCTGTGTACTCTTGACAATATCAACAGTGAAACCCGTGCAAATTCGAGTAAACCAGAGTGACGAAAAGTCTCAAAATTCTCAATACTAAAGTCGCACTGCGCGCTTTTGAAATTGCCGCGATCGCGGCTCAACTTACGAGTGATTTATCTCAGGAACCGTAGCTCGCAGCGCTTCGCGGATTGTTTCTCCCGACAGGTGAGAGTTTTCTCTTCGCCCTGGATATTTCGATCACTGGATTTGAGCGAGATTGGACTGAGTTACGATCTTTTGAAGTTTTGCATTTGAATGCGTCGTTTACGACGCATTCAAGTATGGGGCGGCTCTTAAAGGGTTAAGAGCACGGAAGTGCAGCGATGGTTTTCAATCTACCCGATGGCGCACAGACTGGATTGAACAGTGCTGAGACAAAAGATTTACTCTTTTTTTTACAAAGACCACTTTTGAAATGCCAAACACGAGCTGCAACTAGAACGGAAGCACACACAACATGAATCATGGCAGTGGTGGTGAGGCTTAGGGAGCTCCGCCGACCTAGGGTCTCCACTTCATGGCCACCTAGACGCACCATGTTTTCTGTAAACAACAGACATGCCAACCTGTTTGTTTTTTTGTTCGCTTAACATTATTTTACTTCACCCTAGGCACAGGCAAAATCTGCCTTCTCACTGGGTGTATTGCCACAAAAATGATGAAGATACTGATATGTTTCGTGTTGATCTTCTTGTTGTTGACATTGTTCTGGTTGCAGTGTCTGATGGAGTACTGCGCTGGATTTACTGGCAATGGCTGTGTCAACATCACCATGGAAACAGAGGGTGGGACTGTTCCCGTGGCCGTGGCCGTCACTCTGCACCCGGCGCTCATCGCGGCGGAGGGGTCGAGGTCGACGGTGACACTGCGTCGAGTGTCTTGTCTGAATCCGCACTACACGGATTCGGTGCGCGACGTTATTGTACATGTGAGTCGATTGACACAGCAGTACACTGTGCATTGTATTCAAAGCTGTCCAGTGAATTCACCATCATGAGTACTGTATTTCCCTGAATGTATGTCAAAACTTTCACAGTACAGTATGTCAGGGCCAACAAAGGCCGTGCGGTGCGACTTACCATCGAGCATGATCACTACCGGAGTGAATATATCGAAACGATGTGACAGGGACCTGGGAGTGGGGTGTGACTTACAATTGGTGTTATCAAGAGTACATAACCCCCAGAGTGTGCAATGCCTGATCCAACTCTACATAGGGTCTTGGTCGAGCGTAATCGGATCTTCTGATGTCATGCGTGCACTCCACACCAGCGCAAGGCCGGTCTCGAGGCAGGGCATCGTTGTTTTTGATCCGAGAGTCCTCGCGCCTCCCCGGGTTCCCCTCAGATGTGTACGGTATTATGACATCAGAAGATCCGACTACGCTCGACCAAGGCGCTATGCAGAGCTGGATCAGGCGTTGCACACTCTGGCGGGGGGGGGGGGGGGGTATGTACTCTTGGTGATATACAGTGTATACTCAGCCTTTGCGAATAACAGCTCTCGACCGGGCCTGAAAATGGGTTGATGCTAGCACTGCTATTCATTGGGTTCACTAGGGCATATACAGTAGAGTGGTGAATACACATGTGTTTGGAGCAGGGGCTTTGGAAGGTAATTTAGTGTGATACGGTCAGCCATCTGAAGCACAATTTAAGCGTGAGGGAGGGGTGCCTGAGCCAAACCTTGTGGAAATTCAGAGCCCGAATCAGTGCATTTTATTGATTCAAGGGGTAATGGCGCAAAGAGTGGTACGGTCAGTACCGCGGTGAGCGTACCGTGTGCGGCGCCCCTGTGGAGGCCATGTTGAGTGATAACTTACACCCTGCCCTTCTCTCTCTCTCTCACTCTCTCTCTCTTTCTCTCTCTCTCTCTCTCTCTCTCTCTCTTTCTTTCTCTCTCCACTGTACTATTTCAGATTCGCAGTATCACAGTGAGTGGCTGTGGACCTTGGTCAGATCTCGGATCCATCATTGTTCAGGGTCTGGAGGCGGAGGGCACACCAGCCACGAATGCCGACGGGGCAAGCCCTCTCGGTGCTGGAGAGTACACTGCTATTGCGGTTCCCATCTCCCTGCTTGTCATCCTATGCCTGGTGCTGTATGCCATCAAACTGAGACGCTCCAAGGCAAAGAGGTAAGCTGCTGGGAGTATGTGTTATCAAGAGTAAGAAGAAGAACGAATTGCGCATTACTCAGAATTGATCTCTACGTATCTGTGAGTGAAAAAGGCTTCATTCTTGTCTGTTGTCAGCTAAGACAAAGGCTCCAGGGACAGTGATGTTGGTTTTCTTCAGAGAACTGTGTGGCATGAAGAGTAAAATTAAAAAGCTCCCAAGAGTGTGAAACTGAGGGAGGTTACACCACATTATGTGAGTTTTCACCGTCGGCGGACTGCATAGAAAAGATATCCTGAGTTGCACACTCTTGGAAGGGCATGTACTCCTGGTGAATGTGACTGTGTAGACATTGGTGATGTGCGGATAGACAGGCTTCATTAGCTCCGGTGTCAAGTACATTTCAAGTACTGGGAGATTTGCGATTTTAGCTGGGCACGAAGTATAACGCTTTAACGAGAGAATAAATCCATCTTTATCTCAAGAAACGTTACCAGTGTGCTTATCCTCCTCTTTTCTATACTAGGGAAATAGAAGATGGGTGTGTGATGGAGGAGTCGTTAAACCGTGTACCCGCCAAATGGAAATGTTAGCAGATCGTTAAAGTTTGGACTCGTCACTCTCTCAACTCTTAAGCTGTGTTCACAACTGGCGCGTGTACGCGTGAAACCACGCGTTTGTGCGTATTTTTGCTGGCTTTTGGGGCGCCATGCGTACGGAAACGCGCCGAAATAGAAATTCCAACATGTTGGAATTTTCAGCGCGTATCAGGCGCGTACCAGCGTACATGCCAGTCACTTTGACTGGCGGGGTCATAAAATTAGTACTCGAAGGTGTCGCACGCGCTAAATACGACTCTGATTGCTGTTTTTTGTGTAAGCTTGAGCGCGCGTTTAGGCACGCATGAACCGCAAGCGTACCGCGTCCACGCGCCAGTTGTGAGCACAGCTTTACGGTACATGCGCATGAAGTAGATGCATGCTCTCCAGCTTGCAATGCAAGTGCACTCACCACCCGGTGGCAATTAGTACTGTTAAAGCCGTTATTCTAACGAGGCGCATATTATAACGATTTCCCAAAATTGACTACCGGTAGTTTACGTGTACCAAAGGTAACCACTCTCACTCATTCTCAACGCTCAATAGGACAGTATATGTATCGATTTCTGTATAACGATTTCTATTTTAATGACAGATTTCTCCTCCTTAACTTGTTAGTAGTGGTGAAACGAATATCAAAACCCAGTAGCCGAATATTCTTTGGCTTAACGAACGAACGAACGAATATTCTTTCGTTAACACAGATGACATCACACGCCCTCCTCTCAGTCATTTTATTGGATATTGTCACTATTATTAGGCATGACAAACGAAGGCGCATATTTTCCATCATTTCTAGATCATTTCTAGATCAATTTTCACAAAATCCCCAGCTGAAGTGCATGTTACACGCTAAAAACCCAGCTTGAGACGTGATTTTCGTTCAACCGCCATAACTCCATTCCAGGACCTCGGATCGAGACGACAGCTGAGAGTTTTCTAATGCCGATAGACCTTTCGATGAAGTGATTCGGTCAAGTATTCGCGAAGTTACGGAAGTTTGAAGTCGCCCGGTAAACTCTGCATACCGGGTTAACGAATATTCGCCATGAGAAATATTTGTTCGAATCTGACAAACCGAACGAATATTCGAATATTCGGTATATTCGTTTCACCACTACTTGTTAGAGCTAGCACTTTGTTATATATAATTATGGCTTTTACAGTGTTGTGCTTGCTAGGCCGTACCGTAAAAGTCCGTTAATAAGTACGTATTTACTTTCGAGTGACCACACCCGTACTAACTTTCGGGCGGGTACTGACTTTCGGGCACGAACTAACTTTCGGACCTGACTTGTGTGTACTGGAGAAGTCATTTTCATGTCGATTTACATGCTACGTGCTCCATGTGCGCACCGTACCGGTACTTATTTCGGGCAGTATGTTTATCGGGCTTGACTTGACTTCAACATACAGAGCCTAAAGAATGAAGGGGGTATTTCTTTCGGGCAGGTACTTATTTACGGACTTTTACGGTATTGTGTTGGCTACTGTGTGTATGAGGGGAGTTAGCAGTACTGGCTTAGCTGTTTAGGTAACCGTTGGTTTGTGCTGCTGTTGTTGTACTGAATTGTTGCTTTCCTCAGCTTGCGGGAAGCTGACGAAATCCGTGAGATGTTGGATCGCGTCACACAGTCCGACCCGGGTTCATCCAAGGGCTACTTCATGTTGGAGAACGGAGGGTACAGTGAGTTTAAAGGTGAGACTGCGCATCTGCCATCCTCGTATAGTCAGGCATGGCTGTGGGCCCTACGGGGATTTCCCACGCACTGCAATGGCTGATTATTTATTACTATACACACCAACAAACAGGGTCGATGATAAATGCCTGTATGGAAATAATGAATTGTAACACCATGCTGATTGTTCCTATTTCCATTTACTTTGCCATTTATTTTTGCTGCAGTTGAAATTGACCCAGATGAGTGGGAGGTTGGCTTAGAACATCTGACACTTCTCGGTGAACTGGGACATGGGAACTTTGGTACAGTGTACGAAGGCAGACTAAAGCGCCTCACCGACGACGACAAAGAGGAAGAAATTTCAGTGGCAGTCAAGGTAGGAACGGTCCTGTATTGCTCCTGCTTTTGTTGAAAGTCCATATTGTTTCCGTGGCAACCCAACCTGCTCATGCTCCCGAATTATTGGCGCATTCTGTTTAGTACCTGAAAACAGCGAGTTTTCTGTGACAAATATGTGCTTGATACTGTGGCACACAAGCACGCACACATGCATGCATGCACTTGTGCACACACATGCACACAGACACACACACACACACACACACACACACACACACAAACCTTATCGATGAGGTAAACCACTGCTCGGTCTGGATAACTGGAAAGCAGCATCTTATATTTTCTGACTGTTTGGGTGATTCTTACCTGCAACAGACGGTGAAGGAAGGGTCGTCAATGGAAGCAACAAAGGAATTCCTGGAAGAGGCATGCGTTATGAAGTAAGAACGTTGGACTGTATGCTTCATCAGGCAGATTGCTATCCAATCAAGCGTGTAATGCTGACTTGCCCCCCCCCCCCTCTCTCTCCTGCATACCCCTCATGGTAATGTAAAGGTGAAACGTGGAGTGCAGAAACCTTGTTCTCTCTTGGTGGTCCTTGCAACTTGATCAGTGTGTGTGTACATTGCACCATTTCTGACTCCCTCTGTCAGACATGGATGAAAAGTTGAACTCTGATAAAACATACGTACGCCTTTTGGCAGCAGCAGCAGCAGCAGCAGCAGGAAAGTGAACTTGGTATTATTATCCTAGTTACTGCTTGGTACAATGTCCTTCAGTATGGATCAATGCAACCAGGCTTGGTACAATGTCCGTACTGTGGGAAAACCCTGTCTTATCAGAGTACATACTGTTTTGGATATTGAAATCCGTTGAGAAGTCAAGCGGCCACAAGGCGCTTGCCTTGCCATCTTGAGCACTGATGGTCCATTTTTCTACATGAACTACATGTAGTGCATGTACTCATTAAAAGCGGTAAAGGCGCCAATCCCGGGTTATTTCATTGGACTTCAATGTCCACACCAGTACAAAATAAATTTCACAGCACTTCGAAATAAGAGACGAGGGCTCATCGGCAAGCAAATTTCAACAATGCGGATGTGAATTATTTCTCAAAGTGATCTTTTTTGCGGATCCGAGTAGTTTTGCTGTTGTGCTTTGATGTTCATTGTTCGGGCAGGAAAATAACTTGTCCCCACCTTGTCAACCTGGTTGGCTTGGTAACGCAAGGTGAAGCCTATGCCATCATGGAGTTCATGCCACACGGTGATTTGAAACACTACCTGAGAGACATACGACCTGAGGTAAGGATGAGTGGACCCGTCGCTAGAGTTGGTCTTCACCGCAGAGGATTGTACAAGAAAGAGAGGGAGAGAGAGAGAGACACACACACACACACACACACACACACACACAGAGAGGGAGACACAGAGAGACAGAGCTCATACTTGTATCAAGGTTACTACTTCCTCCGTTAACAAAAACTTCGAATTTTGATGGATATGAAAACGATTAGAACAGGTCAAGAACAGTTGGTGTCGAGTGCAAATCACTGGACGAAGGTAGTTCAGCCTATTTTAAGCGTGTTTACAAGAGAAACTGTTGGCGAGATAAGCAGAGAGTTCGTTTTGCGTCGCATTTGCTCGACTCATTTTTGACCCTGCACCGCTGTTGTCATCTGCTGAACGCGAGCCATCATCTCTCTCGAGTCGTTGGGCAACTCGTTTCAGCCTTGCCTCGGCTGCTTTTATCACACTTTGCTGAACTTGATGTCGCCGTCGTTCAAGTAAGTTGGCTTTCAAGCTGCGTGTCCCGCCGCGGTGGCGATTACTCGTTTCCACCAGGGAGTCGTAAACAATATTTTGCGACTCCCTGGTTTCATCTTCGCTCTCCAGAACTCCTTGAAATGAAGAGTAAAGGCACAGCCAAACGGATTCCATTTTATCTGATGGGTACTCCTGCCAGCACTGAACAGCTTCGGCTAGCAAGTCCAGTCAACTTTCCTTAGCCACGAGACTCGCGTCGGACTGCAGACTTCTGAAAGAATGCATGGTTATTACCATTCAAATCTGGGCTTTGCGCATGTTGAATAAGAACTGGAGTTCAGAATTATTTCATTGCGCGGCCGTGCGATCGGAGTGGCTCCTTGTGCACTCGCTCATTGTGTGGGCTCGCTGCTCCATTTCACCGATCTCTCTATGACTCTCAAACTGTCGAGTCAGTGCTAAAATAGCAGAGAGGCCAAGCAGTGCATTATCCCCTTGGGGAAGTGGTATTTCAGTTTCGCTCGCCATGATTGTCATCACCTATGTTACCACAGCGCAACCATCGATTCTGCTCGCCTTGTTGTGAAAGGTCGCTTTCCTTGCATCGTACCTCTTTCCTGGCATGCCAGGGAAGGCCGAGAAAGTGATTGCGACTCATTTCACGGCAGTTTGTGCGCAAACCAGTCCCTCAAAAATCCATCACAAAGTTTTTGTTAACGGAGGAAGTAGGCCTGTTATCTACTCCACACACATACATACAAGTTCCCCTGCTGATAGTTCCCTAACAGCTAGTTCCTATGCATAGCCGCTGAGCCTGTTTCGTACATGCAAGCTGAACTGGACTATGTCCTCATATGGTTGTTCTACTTCAAAATTTACACTGCACCTAGCAGAAGTTATATCAAGTCCATTGTTCCTTTCACTGATTTGTTTCTTTCTGAGCACAGAAGCAAGAGGCGAAGGGCTTTGAGCGGATGGTACCGTCAGCGTCTTTATTCCACAGCTGGGCATCGCATGTAGCCCAGGGTATGGACTACTTGTCAGGCAGGAAGTTGGTTCATAGGTAAGGGCAATGCAGCGATGTTTGTTATCGTCAAAGTTACTGTTCAATTCTAAAGGCCTGGCCTTTACCAGCATCAGGGGATCGGTGTGGGTGATGGGAGATGTCTGACCGGAAGAGGATTCGAGATATGGAGTTTTCCCATGGCGGGGCAATTTCAGCCAATCGGCGGCCGTTCTGAGCAATTCAGGGATATACCCCGCTTGGCTGGAAGATATACCCCGCTTGGCTGGAAGATATACCCCGCTTGGCTGGAAGATATACCCCGCTTGGCTGGAAGATATACCCCGCTTGGCTGGAAGATATACCCCGCTTGGCTGGAAGATATACCCCGCTCGATTCACCCGGGTCAAAGAGATACATGTGCCCAGCTCGGTTCACATGGGTCATACAAAGAGAAAATAAGGGAGCATTGTGTTGATTACGCTCTATTTTTGGAACACTACCATGCCGTAAATGGATTATACCATTCATACTCTGTGTATTCCGTGTCCCTCATATTTTCCCACGTGCTAACGCACGAGGCGAAAATATTCGGCAGCACAGTATA